TGGCTCACATGATGATGAAACAGGTGGGCTAATGTAAATGGCTGTAGTGTTTTATCTGATGATTTTCCAGAAAAAACAACCTTGAGGTTGTGTGTGTGTGTATGTTTTTTTTCCACTGAACACAATTGTGAATGGGTATTCGGTAAACTTGTGACATTTTTACATCTCTGCATTATGGTTCTTTGTTAAGTCTCTGGATAAAAGTTGTAAAAAAGCCTTGGGTATTGTCTCTGGGGCTGCACTTATATAGTCCCCAAGTGTGGGAAGAGTCTTTTCTCTTTGATGGTGATGGAGCCATTGGCCCCTGCTGTCAGGGTTGTTCATAGGTCCTCTTTCATGTTGGGTTTCTAGTGGCAGGTTTGAGTTGGAGACCATGGGCTAGGCCAGTGATGGCGAACCTATGACACGCGTGTTAGAGGTGACACACGAACTCATTTTTTTGGTTGATTTTTCTTTGATAAATGGCATTTAAATATATAAAATAAATATCAAAAATATAAATCTGCTCTCTGCCACTTGGCTTGCCGTTGTGTCGGTGAGTGTGGTCGGGGAGCCAAGCTAGCTTGAATAAAGACTCTTTGCTTTTGCATCAAAAAATAAAAATAAATAAATCTTTTTTATGCTATGGTTGCAAATATCAAAAACTTTCTATATGTGACACGGTACCAGAGTTAAGTTAGGGTTTTTCAAAATGCTGACACACTGAGCTCAAAAGGTTCACCATCACTGGGCTAGGCTTTGCTCTTGGGCCTCCATGTATGAAGGGATGGTATATTCACTTTGTGGACTTTGTACTCGCCTTTGGAGATCTCTTGCTCTTTAATGTTTCCTTCAGATAGGGGAAGGGAAGCTCAACATCTCTCTGTCAAAAGTGTTCCCCAAACAGTGGATCATAAAGAGGAACTCATGCTAAGGAAAGATGTTTGGAATAGCTATGATTTTCACCTCTTTTTCCCTTCTCTCTTTGTGAAAGACAATTTGTGGTACATTTTGTCTCTTTAAGAAGGACTTGAGTACCCAGCTGGTTAGATATATTTAAAGAAAGAAAAACTGTATTTAAACAGACCTTGAGGAAATCTATTATAAATTTGAGTGTGAATCTGAGAATGATGTGGTATTCAGGCAAAACTAATTAAAATAACTGATAAGGAAATCAGATGTAGCTTTACATGGGATTTTTCAAGGTTAAAAATGTATGAGAATTATGTTAATAAGCTGTTCTTTTAACTCCAAAAAGTATAGGAATTTGTTCCTTTGTACAATTTGAAACCACCATCACCTATGCCCTCTAGTACATACTGGATGAGTTTGACAGTAAAATTTTGTGCTGTGCTTCCTGCCTCTGCCCTAGTTACTGCTGAGATTTGTGGTACGAGAGCTCTCTTGGCCTCTCTGGTTCCCTTATCCCTGGGTGATGGGAAAGGGGGTAGCCTTGTTTCTTTCTGCCTGCCTGGTCTTGCTGCAGTGCTCTAGGCCTGGAGAAGCAGTAAGTGCATCCTGGCAAGTATGGCAGACTCCTGACAGTCAACTCCTTAAGGCCAGGGCAGTTTCTGCCCCCACTGCTGCCCAGGCAAAGCATCCTGTCTTGGGGATGTTTGCTTATGCCTATTGAGGGATACTGGTTAAAAAAAATCTTGCCTTCCTTTCTCTTATCCATGCTTAGTGAGTTGGCATCTAGGGTAGAGTAGCTCATGTAGGGACCCTAGAGAATGCAGCATGTTTAGTACCTGTGGTCATCCTTCTCAGGAGTGTTGTGCAAGGTGTGCTGCTGGGTTGTACCCCAGTGAACTCCCAAGGTAGAGGCCAGGTTGCTGTTTGCTGGGGATAGGCAATTGAGTGCCTTTTTTGAAGCTCCCCAGGCTATGGCAGGTTGGGGAGCAGGTTAAGAAGGTTGGGGAATATGGGCAGTTGTTTGTCCACTTGCTGAGGCTCATGACAGAGCAACTTCTTATTGCATGACTTATTTATTGGCATGATGGTTTTTTAGTCAGTTTCCCTTTCACCCTGCCCCCCCCTTACCTTTACTTTCTTTCTAGCCTGGTTTTGCCTATCTCTGAATGAAGACAGGTGATGATTAGCTGCCCTTTTATCAGCTGGCATATTTGGCATTATAGAGAACATGGTACAAAACAACTGTTCATTTAAGTTTCTATATCTGTCACAAAAGGTTTTTCAGGTTCCACATGTCAAAAATGATAGGTTACCAAGGAAAAGCTTGGGGGAAAAAAAGACATTCACTTTTTTCAGTATACACGATTTTAATAACAAAACTTTCTTGTATAGTACACTGTTAACTATCTCCCTC